CCGAGTGGTGAAGGAGTTTGTGATGAAGCTCATCTGTGTTTATCTGGTGGCAGGGGCTTGAGAGAGTACTGCAGCTTTACGTAGGCATATCCATAGGGCGGGTTAGAACCATAGGTTGGCATGACCTCTGAGCTAATATCAGGATATGAGGTCTGGAAGAAGCACTTTGGGAACTGGTTAACATGTCCGTGCTGCTGTGGTAACTCGTTAAAGGGCCAAAACGTCACTCCAACAGTTTAAAAACAGGAAATGCTGAAATACGTCGAATCAGAGAGCTGCTGTGACTGAACACTCACCGCTGCTTTAACATGTCGTGTGCAGACCTGTCTGAGGGACTCGCACTTTAAACTTTTTTTTTCATTTCTAATCAATTCGTGATTGAAAATTGTGGCTGTAGTAATCAGTACCTCCACCGGAGGCAGTACTCACTGCAGCCTGCCAGCTTTGGAACGATTTTTTCTGTTTTCTGACGTTAGTACATTGGGAATAGTTGGTTCATGGGACGTTAAATCAATACACTGATGTCAGACATCGCCTATGTGTGTTGCCGTGGTGGCTATTCCTGCCACGCTTGGACCTTGTGATTGACAACAGGAAGTGAAACAAAGACTGCCAAGACTCTCTTGGGGGGGGGGGTGTCGAAGGAGCTTGTTGGCAGGTTAACTCTCAGGTGTCCTCTGAGGCAATCAGAGGGGATCTCTGGCCTCACCTGGATGGACAGCAGGTCATGTGATCAGACGTATTCACAGGTAATCTTGCACTACTGTGGTATAGAGGTTGGTTTGATTCAGAGTGTTTAAAAAGAATAAAAAATATGACTTTTCAGATGTGTAAGTTTGTCTGCTTCATCTTTAAACTTCTAATCTCACACTGTATGAAGACCAACACTGCCAAAAAATACAAAATACATGCTCTGACGTGTCTTTAAAGTGGACGTGAAACTACACATGCCCTGCTCTCAGACACTGACATAGATGTAACTCTATCTGTGAAGCTTGATTTTTAGAAATAAATTCTTAAAGTTTTAAAAACATGTTTAGCACAATGTTCTGTCAGTACGGAACACGACATTTTTTCCCCCATATTCATTTTCCTTTGGATTTATTGAGCATAAAAATAAAGTCGACAAATTATTGATTATAAAATAATCAGCTAATTTCACCTTGTAGAATAAAATGAATTGAGTGTAAAAAAAAAAGAGAAGTAATTTCTGTAATTGTTTTTCCCATATTTATCAATAAATGAGAAATATGAATAGATCTAATGTAAACAGTTTGAAATTTTAACAAAAGTTTATACACTATCAAAAATGATACATTAATTAAACAGATACTCCTGTTTTATTTCCTTATGTGTTTCCTGTATGGGAGTCTGAAATGTACAAAACATAAAAGAAAAAGTATAAATAAATCAGATGATTCAGTTTTTTTTTTCATGCAGTTTTCATCTGTATGAAACGTTGCTTCATCATCCTCGTACTGTAAGTCAGGTTTAATGTAGATTTTGTATTTTACATGTAAATATTTTCCTCCTGCAGATTTGTAAGTAAACAACGTCGATGATGCTGTTTTATTCAAGAGCAGTTTAAAGATTTAAAGCGACCGGTAATGTTGCTAATGGACCAATCTCTGGATGCTGAGGCTGTGGTGACGCACGCTTCAGTAACAAACAGGAAACTGTGTTTAAAGGTTACCCTCCACTGAAGCTTTCACCAGCAGGGGTCAGCATTGGCTGCATTACCTACATGTCCTCAGCAGGCTTCCCTGTTTCCAGCCAGCCAGGAACAGGCTGTTAATGACTCACCTGGTAAATGAAGGCCACACTGACTCGTTTAAACAGGATTCAGATGTGCACTGTGATTGGTCCAAACCTGACCACAGTCATCAGGGTCAGCTATTTATGAAGCTCTAAGAACGGGGTGCGTTCCAAGTATCTCCATGATGGCCATAATCTGAGCTGTTCCAGTTCTCCAAAACACTAAGGAAAGGAGCGTCAGTGCTTCTTTTATTGTTTCCTTTAGCAGAGGAGACGCTGGACCATCCTTTATGAAAGGGGAGGAGAAAACACCACCCTATAATTCATAGTGACTGAGCATCTCACCCTTTATGACAACAACAATACAGAGCAGAAATGAGCATATAAATGTTCAACATAACAGTATTTTCCATTTCACCCATAACCTTCTGACATATTCAGTTTTTATCAGCAGCTGTTAAAATGACATGCTACATTTAAACATCACACCAGTGGAAGAAAAACTACTTTCTGTTGACCTGCTGCTGCGTGCAGAACGCTGTATGAGCCCAACATTATGATCTATAACAACTGATCAAAGTGTGTTTAAGGTTCTGTGTGGTCACTGTTCAACCCATCAGGGGAGAAAAGGAATTATACACAGCAGGTAAACATAAGAAAATAAGACAGGTTTTACTTTATGGACTACTGGACAGATTTACTAAGTGGGGCAAATTATTGTGATGTCACAGCTGAAGATGATCTGACAATGCGCTTTAAAGTTTCACACAAGTGTTTCTCTTTGAAAACAGGCAGGATTTTTCAGATTTTGTGCAGTTTGCAATTGTGTGTCAGACTTTTAATTCACATTTGCCATATTTGTGTGACTCATTAAGATATTCTCCTCCTGAAGGTGAGACTCTTACAAACACGTGGGCATAAGGCTAGCCGCAGTCACGAACTCTGAGTCTTTTCACAAAAGGTTTCACAGAAATTCCAGTCACATGACTTCCTGTTTTCATTGTCATCACCATGACAATTGACTGATTTTTGGATTATTTTCATTACATTATTTCATCATTCGCAGCTCTTCTCCCTGAGGATTCTGGCTAACAAACTGATCTCTGGGTTCAGGCCACGTGGAAGAGTCCTGACTATACTCGGATACTTTTACTGAGTACTAGTACCATGGTGTTGTTTTACTGCAGGCAGAGGTTCTGCCTCTCTGTTGCTGAGTGTGTCCTGTCCCAGCAGGGGGGGCCCTCGCTGCCTTATCACTGCGAGGGCCCCCTTCTTCCCTGAGTGTAGGCTGGAAGGCAGCTTTAGGGGACCTGATCAGCACTGTCTCAATAAATTGAAGATTATTGGTTTATTGAGACATTTATAGATCAAAAATCAATATGTCCCTCATTTTGGAATATTTTTAAGACATTTATAGCTTTCAGTGGCGAGCACTTAACTGGTGCACTAATAACATTCAATCCACAATAATGTAAAATCCATGTAAAAACAGGTTAATTACGTTGTTACACTGTGTTATAGACAGGGCTAACAGATGCTAACAGAAGCTAATGGAGGTTAGTAGCAGCTAATAAAGGCTAATAACAGTTAACAGTAGCTAAAATTAGCTAAGGGTAGCTAACGTAGCCCAGCAGTGGAACAAACAGCAGTGTTACGGCAGAAAAGTTCAGCATATCCTCAGCAGCTCACCTCAGTATAGTTTTTATCAGTGGGATCTGAGCTTAATAACTGAGTCATCGAATCATGTCTGAGTCCTTTCATGAAGTTTTGCAGACTCCTCCAGAGTAAACAGATACACACTGCCAGCCTTTACAAGAGGGAAAACTCCGAGCCAGATCTGAACCTGCAACTTTGCAGATGAACAGTAGCCCACATTTTTGAGGTGAACCCAAAATATCTAATTGACACATTTCTGGGTTTTATTCCTGATTTATTGCTAAGTATTGATATTATTCAAAAGTGTTTATAATGTATTTTTTAAAAAGTAGTAGAAATATGCCAGTTGTTATGAGGTAAAATCTAGATTCAGTGTCTTTGATCTCTCTTGGCTGATTAAAACATTTTTGTCCTACAGCAGCCACCATAGCTAGGATTATTCTCTTGATTTGGGAGGGTTAAGAAAACCAAACTCAGCAGACTCCAGCTACTGACATCTGTTAGTGAAAAATTGACACACTGTAACTTCAATAAAAAAATATTCATAATAAAATGTTTCCAGTTATTTTTGTTTTTTATTTCTCTGTATTACCAATATCATAACTATTTCATTAGTTCATATTATTCTGTGCTAGAATCTTCTTTTATGCTTCTAACCCTAGTTAATAGGCTAATTGCTGCAGATTTATCTAAGTGATGACGTGAGGAATCCTACTTCCGGGCCTAAAGTAGTCTGCGTTTAATATGGCTTTTGTGTTGTTAACATGTTTAATGTTTTGTATTTTCTTCTATTTAATCTCAAAAAGCTCCTAAAACAGTCAGTGATCACTGTTGACCTCCCTCGGCTTTTATTACCGCTAATCATTTATTTAGCTCAGTTTTTAAAACCTTAGGATGTAACCACAGCCTAGCCCATGCAGCAGTATATGAATAACTAACCTCATATTGTGGATGGATTATCTCAGTTGTTCTCCTGGCTGAAGTTTGGTCCTTTTACAGCATCCTGCCATGCGATTACATTTGTTCCTGACCACCGAGAACACTCACGTTAACTTTTATCGAGTGGAAAAAAAGTTAGCTTGTTTATATTATGCTAGCTTAGCTGTGTCGCTAGCGGTCACGTAGCACATCATTATATACCAGCTAGCCAAACTTCAGTAACCCTACAAATGTCACTGCTGTTTAGCTTTCTGTCTTCATATATGTTGGAAGTGATAACAGAGCTGTACGTTTTAATTTGTTTCCAAAACCCCGCAGTCAGGACATGCTATATTGATATATATATAGATAGAACCTAGCAAGCTAACTTCCTGCTAACTTCTAACTCCGTTAAATGTCATAAATTCCGTTTTCATGGATGCCTGGATGTTAAACTCAATTGTTACACCTGGTAGAGCAGAACACTGATCATTTTATTAGAGATGAAAGACTTTAGACAGTTTCTCAACTCTGGGTAATGCTGAGTAATTGTTTGATATATGGACCTGCAGCGGAGTTTAGGCCAAGACACGGCTAGTGACGTCAGACTTAACAACCGGATTGGCGTGAAGGGGGCGTGGTCAAGCAGGCAGACTGTCCTGTCAGTCCTCACTCAGGGCACACACCGCCCTCTACTGCGGTCCATTGCTTTAAAGCTGATCCAGAGTCAGCCGCAGATTAATCTCCGCTAGAAGCTCCCGCAGCCGAACAGGAGTGCAGTTATTCAGACACAGAGTGCAGGCAGGAGCCGGTGAAGCGCCCGGAGCTCTCAGCGCGGACTGTGCCATGTTTCTGTGACCTCGGGATTTTTGAAGCCGCACCTGCAGGTGAGTCTCCTGATCCGCCGCGGAGGGGGGAGGGGGGGGGGCGTTGAGGTCCGGGTTACTCCGGCGGCTCTGAGCCGTGGGTGGTGGTCTGTGAGCGGCTTCGAGCCTCTGACCTCAGTGGAACTGCGGAACGGAGCAGCTGAGCTGCCCTCTGCTCTGTGGCAGCAGCCCTGCGGTCACGGGCTCCCACACCAGATTCCGCCGGAAAGATCACACACAGTGAAGCTGTGACCGCGCGCGCGCACACACATACCTGAGTCCTCTTTACCTGAAGCTCCAGTGTCTCGGCCTCAGTTCGGCTTCACTCAAAAACACAGACAGAGCTCAAGTGAGTGTAAATTAAACTTTTATGGCCGCTCTCTCTGTTGCTGTTGGTGTGTCTCAAAGAGACTTAGCGGACGGGTGACTGGAGCTAAAGACCAACTTTAATGCCAGTTTATTCCGGATAGAGGGGCTAGGAGCGGGTAGTGTGTGCGCCGGGATGGCTGGAAGCTTCCATTTCAGCTCCCAGCTTCTCATTTACAGCCCACACCTTCATTTATTCTGGCTGGAGTCCAGTTCTTCTTAAATCAACAGAATCTTAAATGGAGTTTGGCACGCTGTGTGTTCATAATAGTAAATGAAGGTGAAGGGCAGCTCCTCCCTGCGCCCGGTTGCTCGCTCTCTCCGGAATAAAAACACCTGCCTGCTTTTGATGGCGGATCCGAGCAGTCAGCGGGCAGGTGTGTGAGGCAGCCCAGGCAGCAGGCGGCTATATGCACAGGGCTGCCCGGTGCTCCACTTGTTCGGCTCGGCCTGGAAGCTCTCTGCTCCTCCCGGTGGTACCGGCTAACGCCTGGATTCATGTGGTGCACTGAGCCTCGTGCCATCACTGCCGAGAGCAGAGCAGCTCTCAGGTGAGTGACCTGACCGGGTCATAGTCACCTGATGTTTATCAGAAAGCTCCTTCCCCCACACACCATAATAAGCCTCTCTGAGGTCACGTCTAGGTCACTGTTACTTCACTGAGGTGGTTCTGACAGAAGGTGTGATCAGACCTGCTTCAGCTGTGTGTGAGTGTTTACTGCTGGAAGATGGGGTTGTTTTTCCTGCAGGTCAAAGGTCAGCGGGCTCTGAAGCTGAACAGTTGGAGGACCTTTGAGCTGGTTGTGTAATCGAGTGTTTGTATGTGGGCTTCCTGTCAGGCTGCTGCAGGCCACAGCTGGTCTTGGATCAGTGCTCTTCATGGGAACCATCGTCAGCCTGCCATCCTCCTGAGAGCCTCGTAGGATATTTCTGGATGTTTCCATGCCTGTGCTGCTCCACTCCACCTCTGACTGTGTTCAGCTTGGTGGTTGGAGGGATTTGTCCATGGTGAGCGGGTCTTAACTGTGCTGTACTGTGCACCATAACTGACTCCAGGGTCAGCGGACGTGTTGTCATGAGGGTCTGTGTGTGATGTCAACAGCAGGTACAAATGGAGTGGAAACATGCATTATGATGATATCACTTATAAACTTTTCCCATGAACCCTGAGATCAAAGTGAAAAACGTCTGTCCCATCTTCTGGGCGTCTCCCTGGAGCTCTCCCTGTTTGGCTGTGTTGTGGTTGCTGTGACGACAGTGTGATGTAACCGTACCTGCCAGGTGTTGCTACAGGATTATGGCTTTGAAATGGGAAACTGGGGGCGGTTGGGAGTCGGGTTTCAGACTGAGCCAGCGGTCTGATTTTTAGCAGAACAAAGAGGAGGCAAGGGCGTCGGCGCACCTGTTTCACCTGAGACCCTAACACCAGGTGTCACACGCTGTCGTAAGGAGCAGAGACAGGAAGTAAAGGAGCTCAGGACCTCCTGAGTAGTGATGGGATTTGGTTCGGCTCACTAAAAAGAGCCGGCTCTTTCGGCTCCGAACCGGCTCTTCAGGTTGTTTTGTTGCTTTAATTAATTTATTATTAACAATAATATAA